GCGTGGGATATATGTGTACACTAAAACTTGGGAGAAGTTAGGGAGCTGGCGTTGGGTGGCGCTGTAATTAGGTTCCGTTTCCTCAGATTCCATATGGAAGGTCACAGGAATGCACGACAAAGAAAAGAAGTGATGGCAGTTGCAGGGTTCCAGGGAAGCGGAAATGAGCGGGATGGAAATAAATGTCCTTTCCTTCCTGCCTCGCGCCCCGCGCTGTGGCTGTAGACGGACTGTGGGTTCTCACTTGGGCCTCCAGGGGTGCCGCTCCCCACCGCTGCACCCTCCCACGTGGGCGTAGGCAGCCCCGTGTGTCTGTCTGCACGTCAGCTTCTCCAGGAGCCTGGAACCTCTCACTTCCTCTCTCCACATAGACAAACCGTGTGCTCCCCCATTATAATGTTCAGCACGTTACCATTGCCTGTTTATCTGCCTTTGTTTCTCTCCAGAGTTTAAGTTCTGGAGGCATAGCTGTGTTATGTTTTCTTGTTTATTGAAGAAAGTTTGTGAAGTGCCTATTTGCCTTAAAACTAAATCATTGGAAAACTGACAGGAAGTTGAATAAATATTTATCAGTTCTTTGAAGGCATGACTTTCTAAGCTTTTAAGCTTAGACACCAAGTAGAAAAGGCTCAAAAAGATACTAGAGAGAAAAAATAGTTACAAGATAAAAAGAGGAACTATAATGTGGAGGAAAAGTCTGATAGGAATGAAAGTGTTATTAACATAAAGAACTAATACAAATGAAAGGAAAAAAATATAAACCCGAAAGAAGAGTAGAGAACCATTTTGAATGAGTAATCATCTGCTTAGTTTCCTCTGTCGGAAATCTGGATTTTCTTCTTGTTCTTGTCCCCTCTTTCCAACTCCTGAGTAGCCACCAAGACTTGACAGCTCTACCTCAGTTGTTCCTAATGCATCTGCGCCCCACCATCCTGACAGCCTTCTGAGTAAAGTCTCAGCTTAGCATGGTATGCAAGTCTTAGTAACCTCGCCGTTTTACCGTCAGCCTCACGTGTTCCTGGCCCCTCGGTCATACTCTGTCCTAGGTGTTCTGAACTACTTCGGGTTCCCAGACGCTCTAGGGCTCTGTACTGCTGTGTCCCTGGCCCAGCATTCCCTTCCCCACATTATAGGACTTACTCCTGTCCGTTCTTCACATCTCTTTCTGTTCTGATAGAAAACATTGTGTTTAAATATTTTAATTATGTGCTACCTCCTTTCCCCTGGACTCGCTGCTGTGGATTCTTTTTGTCCCACTGTGACGCAGCAAGGGGCAGCCAGAAGGTGTTTTGAACTCACCACCCTCTCATTTGCTTTGAGATGAACATTGCAGCACATGCAGGTGCTCTGCTCTGCCTCCAGGCCAACATGGAGTTTCCTCCACTGATTCAGCCTTAGAGCCCTGGCTGTGTGACTCCCTGGGCGAGAGCCGGGCGCTGTCACGTCAGTCTGTTCTCACAGGAATGGAGGTGCTCTGGCTCCCTTACGATCGTTTCTTGCGGCATAATGGAGACCCCAGAGTGACACCATTATAACTTAACCTGGTTCAGGACACAGAAGGGCAAGTTTCTGCCTTTTCTTGGGTATAGACAAAGATATCAAGCCTACGCATATGTAAAAAAAAAAATTTTTTTTTATTCTTCAGGTGTTACTTTTTCTCATATTCTGTGGTCTGTTTTCTGAGAAAGAGGCCCCAGATCTTAATGTAACTTGCTTAAGAACTATTATTAACTGTTATGAGCTCCATCTGTTCCTCTGAGAAGAAGAAAAAATCTGACGTAGTGATGTCATCGTGGCAAGACTTTTCCCTAGGGCCTCCTATAACACTGAGAGGCTAAAGGGCAGTTGATTTAATGGACTTGTTTAGCATCCCAGACAGATTGACCCAATCATCTGAAAACTTTAGCTAAGCAGCTCCAGTCTACTTGGGGATGCTGGCCAAGCAGGCTTGGAAAGGCCTGTTTTACATTTATGTACCTACCTGCCTGCCTGACTCTGACGAGAGTTATAAAGTGTGTGGATCCCCCAGTACCCTTTGTAGTCGAGTCAAAGACAGCAGAATCCGAGTTTCGGTGAAAGATACAGAATAAGGACATAAAATTAAGGGCAGTGGACAGGGGCTTCTTTGGTATGCAAAGACAGAAGGTCCTAGAACAGATGGTGATCTTCCAACACCAAGGGTTCCAGATTCCTACCACCCTGGGGACCTGTACTTTAAAAAAAAACATGTGTTATACTCGTCTGAATCCTCTTGTCCCCACCAAAGTCGTGTTCATGCTGTCACAGGCCTAAGGCTCTGTAGATGTCCATGACATGTAACTTCATCTGCTGTGAAGGTTTACAGGAATTCACTAACTCAGGCTTATTAAACATTAAGTGGAACGGTTGATGGTCGATGGTTGCTGGGTATAGCAGTGTTAAAGTTGGTTTGAAGTACACCTTCAGTGCTTAGGAGACCATATTCTAGCTAGAGCGTTCTCATATTTTCCCATAGTTTTTTTTTTTTTTTATTCCAGTAATGTTTTTATGCCAGCAATGAAAGTACACTTTACGAATCCAAGCTTTGCTGAAGATGGTGATGCTGTTCTCTGTCCAGATAGCAAACAGGCTTGTCCCCAGGAAGTAGTGTTGGAATGCAGTAACGATTCTGCCACCTTTCTGCCTGCCAGCGTGACCTCATCCTACATCGATTCAACTGGAAGTTATTAAGAATAGAAAGAAGTTGTCAGTAGGAAGCCATCTATCTCTCAGGCCCCACACAATTTTTCAGTCTCATATTGTAAAAGATGAAATGTAAAAGATGCTCCTTGCAGGGAGACACTAGGGCGAGCTGGGAAAACATTTTGGCCTGGCTTTGTTTGTACAATGCGGATTTTTTATTAAGAAGCATTTGAAGGGCCTGTGCCCAGTGGAAGAACTCAGCGTTTACTCGGGTATTGTCATTTGTTCTCCAGTGTTTGAGCTGGAGTCCACACACTAGTGTGTCAAATTGTACTTGTGTAGAGAAGAATCGGGACCAGAGAGGACTTGGGTCATTTATCTTCAGACAACAGCGACTGGTGTTTATATAAAACAAGCTAGATTTCTTGGTGTTTAGTAAGTTGCTGTCACACCATATTCCTGTTTTCTCAACCTGTTTTCTCTCACTTAAGCCACATGCCCTTATTTGATAAACATTAATAAAAAGCCTACACCCTCTTTAATCCTTGAAACAAATCAGTGCCATGCTAATTTTGGATTTCTCTTTTTTCCTGAACTATCACTTCTGTCCCATAAAGTCTGAAATGATTCCCTTGAGGGAACATGTCCTTCACTCCCCAGTCCCAGTGGACAGATACTATAGCAAATCTACTTTACATGAAGGAATTATTCCTCCTTAATTATAAAAGTTATAAAGCAACTGAGGTAAAAGTGAGAGGATGAAACGTCGTGTGGACGTTGTATATAATCTGTTAACTATGCCAATAGGAGGAGGGAAAAAGGGGAAATATCAAAATGAAAGTAGTGGCATTATTGGAAGTGTGATTATGGGGATACTGTTTTTGTTTTTTTAATTGTACTCGATACCATTTTTAAAACAAAAACCTTGTTTTAAACTGTTTTGTATAATACCAAGTTGTACACTTATAAATTGTCCGATACTGTATCGAGAAATTCTCAAAGTGATTTTTAAATCACCATTGATGATTCACCCAAAAATCCTAATGAGCTCTTTCCTAGATTTTAAAATTATATTTTTAAAGTAGTAAAATGGTGGCATGTAGTGCAGGTAGTGAGTTTTTGATTCTTTGGAGCATCGCTTTTTCCATAAATTTTTAATCTTGACTAAGAATACTGCGGTGTTGACTTTGTTCTTTTATTGTTTTGAGGGGAATTATAATCGTGTTCACAAATCTGGGCATATCTAAATAGCAAGAGCGGATTTAGTAATTTGAACAGCAAAATGTAAACCAGGAGCTCAAAGAGACAACGTTCAGAGTCTGCTGACCATCTGCAGCCTGTGTCCCCGGTGGCACAGAGAGAACGGCTTTTCACTGGAACCGTGTGCTGTGTGTGCAGGAAGGAAATGTATGCTGCTCAGAGGTCAGAAGCAGGAGGGCTGAGGTTTTGAAGGAGAGTATTTATTGTGGGGTTTTCCCAAATGCCTGGCCTCACGGGCGATGTTATTTCTAATTGACTTGGTAGAAACGTGGGCAGAGCTGGATCTGTTGCATTGTGGTACCAGCGGGGCCAGTTAACAAAATGCTGTGGCCAGGTACAGACCTTTCTGTGTCTTGGGCCACCAGGTTTGGTAATAAACTTAGACCATGACCAGATCAGTACTGTGGAGGCTCAGGGACTGGATTTAGTACCTCGGAGACTTCAGTCTGAAGAGGGTCTCCTGCGCATGAAAGGTCTAGTAATCAAAAGGACTAGAAAGCTGAGCAGTTAAAGGACCTAATGATATTTAGTGTGAGGCAGAGAAAGGTTAAACGGATATGACAGATGCCTTCACAGTCCAAAGGGTAATTGGCAAAGTAGAAGCAGCACGTTTTCTGAGGCCCTTTGGAGAACCGAATTAAGAATGTGTAAAGATGGAGAAAACAGGTCTTAGCATAATGGGAAGAAGATTTCCTTACAGTTGGAGCTGCCCCTTCACGCCTGAGATGGTGAATTCTGAATGCATTCGGGTACGGGCGTCAGGGGGTGCCACACTGTGTGGTTAGGTAAAAAGAAACCTCTCGACCGCCTCCAAGCGTGTGTGTCGGAAGCCTCTGCTCCCCCCGCCCGGCCGAAGGTCAGTTGTGCGGCATCCCAGCGCCCCTGCTCCTGTACACCCATGTGTCAGCTGGAGGCAGCAAAGCGGTTTCCTCTCCTTAATTGTTTCTCTGTGAAAGTAGAACGCCGATCCATGCTCCTTTCTCTTGTGACGTGCGTGCTGGGTCGATGCTATTGTTTTTCTAATGTAAGTTCAGATTTATCATCTTTTATTGACCCCATGGATCTCTGCCTCCCTGCAGGAATTGGGGGCCTTCAAGACTTCGTGCTGAAATCTGCAACGCTGTGTAGCTTGCCGTCCTGCCCGCCATTCATACCGCTCAGCTTTGAAGCCGCGCCTATTGTGAGGGTTGCTGTTGAACCAAAACACCCAAGTAAGATCACCTTGTTTTTAAAAGCATGTGATGTTCACGATACTTTTTAAATGCCTGCATTTGAGACTCGGTTCCTCAGAGTTCGTGGCAGCAGTATACTGTGAATTTTCATGCAGGTATATAATAGAAGGAGTGTTCCCAGCCAAGGAGCCATACAGACCACCAGCTCTTCAGAGGGAGTCCAATCCCTGTCTCAGGAACATGGCACGTTTAGGCACCTTTGTTCTCCAGGGAGAGCACATTCTTCTCGATGGCAGAGACAGGGTTGTCTGCATCCCCCAGAGCCCTGGCATAGGGCGGCACCTCAGCAGAGCTCGTGCTCTGTGTGATTGGTCCTTAGCATCTTAGCTCAAACTCCTTGGTTCAGAATCCATCATCTGTCTCTTCCCTCCAGGTCTGCTACAGTATCTGGACACTGAGCTTTTCCTGGACATCTCCTCCTGGTATGTGACACTCACATGCCACACCCTGTAGTGACTGAGGCTTAGTCTTTGGTTTATACCATTTGCCTGGCCAGGCCTCGTTAGCTCTTGGATTTCACTTCCATGACTCCCACTAACCCCTTGTCCCCTGCGACTCTGCTGTTCTCAGTGCTTCGTGGTAGTCAGTGAACGTCTGAAGGAACCAGCGACCAAATGTAGAAACGGTAGTTTTCCGTTGAGGTGTAAAATGGCCTTGTTGCCCCAGCACCTGTATGTCCCTCTTCTCCCCAGCGCCGGGGCCTTCCGAAAGCTTGTCTCTGCCTCGAGTTCTGAGACACATGCCTAGCCCTTGTGGAGCCCCGGGCGCTAGAGCACATACTCCAGGACTGCGTCTCCGACTCACGGGCTCGGGCCTGGTAAACAGCCTTTGTGCCTGGGGCTGAGAGACAGGCCTCCTTCCCGGGTGGCCGCTGGGCTGGCGGTGCCTTGGGTGCGACACAGTTTACGCCACTCTGTGTTGTGCTTGCTTCCTCTTTGCGGGCTTGTCTGGATCCTGGACCCTCCTGGCTTGTTCTTTATTCTGCTTGTTGGGCTGGCTCTGGCCATTGTCAGTTGCCTCCAGCCCTAAAGCATGTAGTGTAAGGAAGTTGTGCCATTTGAGTCTGGCAACCATAGTCTATTCTTACGTGTTTCTAGCATTTATATCTTAATTTCTTAATTGTTCTCTATTCCATTTGGATCTAAATTTTTGAAATAGGAATTAATGATCATTTAAGCCATAATGTTTTAATAGAAATTTCTACTTTTTGACATCTGGTTGATGGTTGTGTGCTACTCCACGCTGTTATCCAAGCTGAGTAAAAGCCCAGCCTTAAAGGGCAGCAGAACCAGCTTCTGTGCAGCGTTAGCTTCGTGAGGTGAGGGGTCCCTGTTCCCAGCTACTTCCTGTCCTGCAGCAGACTCTGCTTTTGTAAATCAGGTAATCTGATTATTTAGGATTATCAATCTGGATGCCAGCGTTTATTTCCTTATATGTGTTTCATTAGATTTTTTCTGATCTTGGTAAAAGATAAACTAAAATGCTTAGAAGGGACACACAGTTTTTTTTCCTAATTTTAAAGAGAGTGCTGCTACTTTTTCCATCCTGGATATTGTTTTTCCTGATTGACCATGAATATTCCTAATCGTGTCACTGAAGTGCCCCATTCCTGTATTTCAGTGTCTGAATTTTTACACTCATTTTTCGGTCATCCTGGTTGTTACACTGTCGGCATCTTCTTTTACGCTTAGGGTGTCTGGGACTGCTTCTCTTACGCTGCCCTCATTCCCATGGGCCCTCAGAGGACATTTACCATGTGTTTACTCTTTGCCCTAGTTTCTTAGGCCCATCCTTACCTTGGGCAATAGCCCCTCACTCCTCGATTGTGGCTCTAATGACTTTGCGATGTTCCGCCCTCCTGTCCCAAGGCTCCCCAGTAATACTGCTCCTGAGAAGTGCTGGACAGATGTGTTGTTTACTTCTGAACGGGATGCGTATCCCAGGGCCCTTTTCATACTGACAGACTGTGAGCTGCCGAACCTATGGAAAGGGGAGAAAAGGCAGCCGCACCCAAAATGTGGATCAGAAGCCCCGTCCACACCTCCACTCTCAGCGTCTGGGTAAAAGGCATTGTGTACCAAGAGCACAAGCGGAACAGAACGCAGACAGTGCCGGAACTCACTGAGTGAGGTGGCCAGTTAGTGTGTCACAGCTGACCCGCAGGGCAGCTTCATCCTGAAGCCCACACTTCTGTCAGCAGTTTCACAAATAATTAAGTATAAGGCTTTGGAGCCGTTTCTTGAGTTGATTATCATATCAGATGCTTTTTTTGGCTAATTTTATGTAGGTACTGTTTGGAGTAGAATTCTGTTACATTTCTGGGCATGTACTATGTGCATTTATAATAAGGTTTAGGTGGATTCACAAGTATATGGTGGTAGTTCTTATGTGTTGAGTCTCTGAAGAAGTGCACAGCCCAGCACTGAGTGTCTTGGTGATGAACTTCTCACATTAACTCTCTGTACAAATAAATTACCAGAAGGCTGTTTTCTTCACATCACCGCGTTATTTGGAAGGAAAATAAAACTGTTATTTTAAAAGTTTATTTGATGTTCTTTTCCCTTTGGCGGCCATGGAATTGTCTTTAGATTGTATTAGTCCTTGCGTTATATTTAATCGGTATTTCCTTTTGTGAACCTAGGTGAAATGCCTCAGCTGGTCAAAGGAATGAAACTGTTGAACCAAGCTGACCCCTGTGTCCAGATTCTGATCCAGGAAACGGGAGAGCACGTCTTAGTCACAGCAGGGGAGGTCCACCTTCAGCGGTGCCTGGATGACTTGAAAGAAAGGTTAGCTGGTGGTAGAGATGGATGTTTTTGTGTTTCCTAAACCATTTGAATGTAGACTCTAGTTTGTTTTTGGAGAAAAATGGAATGCCCTGAAACATGAGCTGTTACTAGTTATTGGATCATAGATTTAATTTTTAATGACTGACAAATAGCATTCACTTCTATCTGTACTTGAATAACTTTACATTTTTAGCTTGAGTCCTAAAATATTTTCACATATGTGTATTTTACTTTAGGTACACACACAGCACATCAGGACAGCAAAACACAATGATTTTTTGTAAACTTAGGTGTGGTTAGGGCTGACTTCTTTCCTCATTGTGTGGTCTCTGCAGTGTGAACTGTCAGGAATTCTTGATATTCCTCTGTCACGGGGATTTGTACATGTCATAACATCAGCGTCCCAAATCACTTTTCCTGTTTATTCCAAAGAAAAGCATGTGTATTGTAGCCATTAAGAAACTACAGAAGAATAGGAAGCGTCATTCATTTAGCATGTGGAGAGAACCACCATTATATCCGGGTTCGCAAATCCCTCACCTGTTCTACACACATGCAGGTGTCTGCAGATACGGTATACGCAGCTCTGATTGGTTAAGATAAACTTCGGGAAGTAGTATTGCTGGCTCCAAAGGTGGCACTTCATCGTTAATATACATTTTCTGTGCTTACTAATGATACTGAGACTTATTGTGTGTGTTTACTGGCCATCAGTAGCTCTCCTTTAATGAATTGTCCTGTAACAGCCCTCTTTCTTTTTATTTTTAAAATTTCTGGGACTCCAATAATCGTAGCTAAAATAAGAATTATAAATAATTAATGTACTTATATACGAAATATTTCCCGTGGGCCACTGCGTTGAGCACGGTCTCACTGAACCCTTGAAACAACCCAGTGAAGTTGGTGGGAGGAGCAGGGGGCGCCAGCGACGCTGTGGCCGTGGCAGACCGGCGAGCATCGCCCAGCGCTGGCGCCGTCAGTCGCGGTGGTGTCCACACTCCTGCCGGACTGGCCGTTTCCGTTCCCCCGTGTCAGTGCGGGGTCTGGCTTTTCCTCCTCGAAACGTTTTCATAGCTGTAATTAGTACAAAATCAGAAGGCAGATCTTCCATCTCCTTCTTGTCATTACCATTTTATTAGCATTTCTGAAGGTTCTAATGTTGGTTAGAGAGTAATGCTAATTGGATAAATCATAATGCATAAAGATTTCAAAATAAAAACTCAGGTTTTTAAAAAAAACTTTAAACATTATTTTGGGGGGGGTCTTTGAACTAAATTCTTTTCTCTTCACACTCTTTGCTGCCAGTTAAAATCCATGTTAATTAACCCTACATTTCTCGGGCCATTAGCTTGAAAAATAATTTATTTTGGTACTTAGAATGACATTTCAAGTAATACTCCCTCCCCTCCTTAAGCCTGAAACTGATTTTAATTGAATTATTTATTTGTTTCTTTGTTTAAACTTTTTTCATTTTTATCTCGTGGTTTTCATCATGGGTACTTTTTAATCTCAGGAGAAGAAAAACTATATAATAAGAGAAATTAGTTTTCTAGAAATATGCCCCTAACATGACATTAAAATGTGTTAATAAATAACTCATTATGGAAAACATTCTATGTAAACTTTTTATTAGAAACTGTATCTAAATATCTAAAAATAATTTTGATTGAATGAAGATAATAAAAATAACACATTTGTTTTTCAAAACATATATACTGCTTTAATAAGATACTTTACAAGTTCTGGAGTATTTAACTGCTTTTTCTAAAATTCCAATCTCTGAAAGCAGTGACACCTCCCACTAAAAAAGGATTCCTCTGCACTGGGGCTGGCATGAAGGAGGAGTAGCTGGAGCTCAGTTAGTGTTCTTGTCGGAGCTCGGAGACTAATTGGAGCGCAGGAAGGGCGGGGTCTCCCTCTTCTACCTGTTTGGGCTGTCGGCAGAGGAGTCCGGTGGACCAGGTGCAGGGAGCAGAGGGGAGAGCTCCACAGGGCGCCCAGGCAGCAGACTTTTAGGTGCTGTCTTGGAACCCTGAGGAAGCTGGGTCAGGTGATATTGACAAAAGGCCTTTGCAAGTACCCCGGTGTCATGTAGCAGTTTCAGGCATCTTAATGAATCTGGTTAGGTAGCTTGTCCTGGGCCAAGAAAGGTAAGAGAATATTAGGAAGTTTTATAGCACTAAATTGTAAAGGAAATTAAAAGATTTCTAGAAAAATCTGACCCAAGAAGAAATGGAAAACCTGATAGTCCTATAACTACCAAAGGAATTCAGTCGAATAATATTAAAAATACCAATCAACGTAAAATTACCAGGTTCATAGCAAAAAGAAATCACCTCAGTGAACAGAGGAAAAGCATTTGATAAAATTCAACATTTGTGCACGATCAAAACTCAGCAAATTAGGAGTAGAAGGGAATTTCATTAAACCGATGAGTTATATTCAGAACAACTTTAGCAAATGTGTACTTACTGGTGAAATTTTTGAAAGCTTTCCTTTTGTGACCGGGAGCAAGGCAAGGGCGCCCCCGTCACAGGCTCTGTTTAGCATTCTGAGGTAGGTCTTGGGCAGCATTATGAAGAACACAAAATGGAAGCTATGAAAATTGAAAAGGAAAAATTATAAACATCATTTGTGGATGATGTCATTGCGTACTAATAATCCAGAAGAATCTGTAGAAACTATTAGAATTAATAAGTAAATTCTGCAAGGTTGCTGTATTCAAATTCATATGTAAAATCTATTGTATTTCTATGTACCATTAACAAATAGAAAATGAAAATTACTTAAGGTTACCATTTATGACAACAAAAATATCAAATACCTCAAAATAAAAATATATTCATGTTTATAGACCCTCTATGCAAAAACTAAAAGATACACAAGAAGTTAATACACCTTTTCTATGGTTTGAAAAATTCAGTATTATAATGTCAGTTTTCCCCAAACTGATGATACGTTCAGAGCAATCCCAGTCAAAATCTTATTAACTTTACATGTATGTTTTTGTGGAAATGCAAAGGGCCAGTAATAGCCAAAACCTATTAAGAGGTAGAACAAGGTGGAAGGTCTTACTGTGCTGGAAATCAAAGCTTAAATGTTTTAAAGCTATAGTAAGTGACTATGGAATTGACACAAGGATGGACAGACAGATTAATGGACCAGAATAGAGAGTTCAGGAATAGGTGGCACTGCAGAGAGATTAGAAAGGGACAGACTTTTTAATGAATGGTTGCCCACGAGTTGGATATCCACATAGAAAGAAGTGAAACTTGACCTCTCATGTTATGCCGTACTCAGAAATTTATTCTAGGTGTATTGTATTAAAATATGAAAGGCAAAAACATAAATGGTGAATTCTGACCTCAGATTTAACCCTAGCTTTCCCACTTACTAACTCTGTGTCTTTGGAGAAGATAATCTTTCTTACCTGGTTTTTTCTCTACAAAACGAGGATGATAATACAATTACTAAGGAAAAGCTATATGTAAAACACTTAGCGCAGTGTCTCATACATAAACGATTAGTAAATAAATAAAGAAGACACATCTATCCCTTTTTTTCGTTATTATTTTATCTTAGATTTTATATCTGAATTTTTAGGTACATTTGAATTACAGTTTTGTCTCTATATGCTTTCTTTGACAGGTTTGGGCATCACAGTAATTTTAAATTAATACATTAGATACAGGAATTTATGTAGCATTTGAAATAAGCTAATCCTTGAAAGTGAACAGGCTCACTGGCAAAACCAGAGCCTTTCTTGGAAATAATTTTTTTCATGACGTTTTTATTTTCTTTCACACATTACTGTCTCTTCAGGTTCTACAGTCTAACATCAGTTTTGATAACATTCTTAGAAAATCACCCATTGATTGAGTTTTCAGATTTATCAAAATGTATAAAATCAGATAGATAATTCAAATACCTGTCACCCACAAAATATAGAAAGCAGAAACAAATATAGACTCATATGAAAGTATTTCAGAAACCTTTAGTATTTAGTTCCCTTATTGAATAATATTTCCCAGGGAAAAATGTTGTTCCAAGATCCTAAAATTTCACGTAGTATATATGTGTACCCACACGCATACGTGTACGTACATTTATACATATATCCACCCACATTGCCAGTAGCAGACAGAGACCAGACCAGAGCTTCGGTGTCACCTGGGAATCAGGGAGACAGAAAGTAAGAGAAAAAGGAAGACCACATTTCATTGTCATCAGAATCAGTCGGCACCAGTGTCCAGAATCCACCCTCTGTGTGCTTAAAACACGTTTGGAAGGAAATACAACGTGAAACTAAACTCGATAGCATGTGAAGAAGGGGCTTTCTGAACTTGGTTCCAGACTGAAGTTCAAGATTTGTGCTTTCCAGTACAGTAGCCACTACCTGCATGTGGCTATTTAAAATTAAATTAATTGAACTTAAATAAATTCAGTTCGTCAGTCATACCAACCACATTTCAAATGCTCCTTAGGTATGTGTGGCTATTTAAATTTAATTAAAATTAAATAAGATTAAGTTTTATATAGGCGCTGTGGTTACTGAGCACTGGCTGTGTGTCAAGTGCTCAGTAACACAGCGCATATATAGAACCTTTTCATCACTGCAGAAACTGCCCCAGACAAACTGCTAGATCATGCTTGCCTTGCTATGAGCCTCATTATCAAAGCCAAATCCATTGTCACAGTTTGACTCGATGTCCTCAGCTTCTGTGGTTCTTTGTTAGAATTACGATCATTAGGCTTTTCTTCTCCAGACATTTAAATTGGCAAATAGTATTTTAAAGAACTCACATGTCAAATCTTATTAAAACATTTATTTTTCATTCAAAAATTCTTAATCTAAATAGATGGTTTATTTGTTTTGAGAATGAACAAAGCAGTGAAATTCTACTACATGCAAAGACCTCCCTGAAGGTGTGTTCCCATCAGAGGTAGTCTTTTCGATCTGAAATGAAAACAGTTTTTGAATTCTGATACAATGTAAGTTAGTGATCTTTTGTAGTAAAATAATTCTTATGTTTCTGTGTATTTTTCAGAATCTCAATTGTGGAATATTTTATGGGAGTTTTGAGACCATTTCGATTATTATCTTCTGTTATTTCTCTTGCATTTGTCTGTAGGTTTGCGAAGATTCAGATCAGTGTATCTGAACCCATTATTCCATTCAGGGAGACAATCACAAAACCCCCCAAAGTGGACATGGTCAATGAAGAAATAGGCAAACAGCAGAAAGTTGCAGTCATACACCAAATGAAAGACGAGCAAAGCCGAATCCCTGAGGGAGTCCAGGTAGACTCCGAGGGCCTGGTCACCATGACAACTCCCAATAAACTGGCCACGCTCAGTGTGCGGGCCATGCCCCTTCCGGAAGAAGTCACTCAGATTTTAGAAGAAAACAGTGATTTGATTCGTTCTATGGAACAGTTGACATCATCTTTGAATGAGGGCAAAAATACTCAGATGATTCACCAGAAGACCCAAGAGAAAATTTGGGAATTCAAAAGAAAACTTGAGCGACACCTAACAGGGAGAAAATGGAGGAACATTGTTGACCAAATCTGGTCATTTGGCCCAAGAAAATGTGGGCCCAACATATTAGTAAATAAAGATGAAGATTTTCAGAACTCTGTATGGACAGGCCCGGCTGGCACAGCTTCAAAAGAAGCCAGTAGGTACCGAGATATGGGCAACAGCATCGTCAATGGCTTCCAGCTAGCAGCTCTCTCTGGACCCATGTGTGAGGAGCCTCTCATGGGTGTCTGTTTTGTTCTGGAAAAATGGGACCTAAGTGAATTTGAGGAACAAGGAACAGGTGATAAGCAGAATGAAGAACAAAGCGATGTGGTCAAAGAGGAGCGGAGGGGAGGTGAAACCTGCCCCAGCAGAGATGGAAACCAGGAGCTCCAGGACGGTGGCTCCCAGCCCTCTGAGAAAGGGCCTTCCCGGAGAGGAGAGTCGTCACTCGCCGACTGCTACGGACCCTTGTCAGGGCAGCTGATCGCCACCATGAAGGAAGCATGTCGCTATGCACTGCAGGTGAAACCTCAGCGCCTGATGGCAGCGATGTACACGTGTGACATCATGGCTACCGGCGATGTTCTCGGTGAGGAGGAAGGGGAGGTTGAGGCAGTGAGGGAGGGGCGCTCTGAGTAGCAGGGGTCTCCTAGGCTGGGACGGAAGTTTGTTTTATACTGTTTCGCAGGAGCTCCATTACCATTTCATTTACTAAGGCTCTAAGGTGTTCGAAAGCCAGAGGCCATAAATGTTAAAATCTTGGCATGAGGTTGGAGGGGGGACTTGACTACTAAAGAGCTTTAGCAACAAATAGACTTTTCTGTGATGAAAGGTCTGGTAAATGATGCTCAGAGATCTTCTGAGAAAACCTCAGACTTTGCTGACAGTTGCTTTACTTCTCCAGCGATTGGTATAAGACAATTAGACAAGTTCAGGTCTTTTTTATTTAGCGAAATGAGTTTCCTTAGTCTTTTTTAAAAACTTAGTTCTTTCTACACAGATCGTTAAAACAAGAAATCCTTCTGTAAATGTATGAGTTACTTATGGTCAGAATGGGAAATTTTGTAGAAAAATAATCATCTCAAAATCATTTTATCTAGAGAAATAATCCCAAAGAAATGACCTTCTTTACTTGTAAAATCTACTTTCTTAAAGATGTGGTTTGATTATCATTTTTTACCCATGAAAATTGCCTTTAATGGGCTTGAATTAGTTTGTGTTTTTTATTTTATGTGATTAGTAAATTGTCTGTTTTCGTATTTCTTTTTCTAGCCTTTTAACTTTTCATTCTTGCTCTTCATTGTTTTTATCTTTGGCAATAAGTTCACATAAAAAAATAACTTTTTCTGGTAAGCAGTGTTAGAGTTTTCATCATAGCTGTGATTACTGTAGTTCTTCTGTCTGCTTTTACATATAGAGATAAATACGTACGCTGTTAGAAACACAGATGCCTTAATGTCAGAAACATTCTTAATAAGTAGCACTGTTTACTTTTTCAAACCATTTCTTATTCTAAAGTTGGGGTTCTTCTTACATTTTACCAGCATTTCGTAGTTCAACAAAAAAATTATGGAACTATATGCCAACACTGTGTTACACGTGATTTCTGCCTTGAGAAATGAGTTAAAGTGACAAAGCATAATTATGTAAAAACGATTAGAAAGTAAAATAGTAACTTTAATGAATAAACATGGTTTTCCGGTGAAATTTTATGAGAAATTGGAATTAGCAAAATTTGAAACAGGGTAGATCTTTTTGAAAGTTTTTGTACCTTGAAATGGGCTTTGATGGATGGAATAATTTTGGATTCAGCAACTAAGTATTCAGTTGGCTTTCTTCGTAAACTCAGCCCTCATCGGTTTTGCAGGAACTGCCGCTCAGCATTTCCTTTCTCATCCTAGACGCTTGGCTGGGCGAACCCAGCTATAAAATCTTGCGTTTACTCATGCTAACTTGTGTCTCGTTAAATCGAGCCCCTACCTGGTCATCCCGATTCTGCCCCAGCATTTATTTCCCTACCAGGTTCATGCCAACCGTGGGTTTGATATACCCTCTGAATCTTTAAGTCGCTGAGCATCTTAGTAAGGACACAGAGCACTGACATTTCACAAAGAAAAGACATCATTCCAGGGTCGGGGCACCTTGTTGACATTCATTTCCTATAAATCTTTAACTGAATTGTGTATATAATAGCAAGCAGCCCACGTGCCCCATTATGTCCGTAACTTACTTTATCTCGTATTTGGTTGAAGCCCATCTGCATCCTGTCGGCCACACTTGCTCGATTTAGCAGTATGGTTACTCTGTGACAGAAGGATGAGAGGTTAGTCTGACCTGGTTTGTAAGAATAGGAAGTGCCCACCACGTTCTTTTTGTGTGTTTTTAACTGGAGTTACACTGCAGTGTTACCAACAACAACGGAAACCACAAGATGAAAGAAAGGTCTTTCTCCTTGGAAATCCACCTGTCATTTTCCATTTTCTTTTATAGTCTTTGTCTATGATAGTATATTTTGCATGACTATAACCTTGTAGAAGCAGTTTAATGTTTCGCTTTTTACTTTTATTATTTATTTTATAAGCATGCTTCCATTTGGCTATTCAGTATTCATAATGTTCATTTTAGTCTGGATAATATGTCATCAGTTTGATATGCTATGATTTCCTTACTGTCATTCTCAAATTGGAAATTCACATTGTTTCCTGTTTGTTCACTATTAGAGAAAACATTTCTGGAGCAACTGTTTCCTTCCCTAAATTCTGGAAAAACAAAAACAACTATACCTTTAATTGTCAAACTTCTAAGTCTAAAGATAGTAGAATCTGTAGACCAATCTTACTGCTCACAATGGAAGAAGATGTATGTACAAGAATCTATAATGCCTGCCATAAAAGAACATGTTAGGTTTGTTGAAGAATGACGAAGAGATTATTTTAATTTGGGGATCTCAGAAGACTTTATGGGGCAAGTGGGTTTTGAATGGCCTTAAAATGATGAAAGGGATTTGACTGTTGAGTTGGGCCGAGCGTATTGTAGGTTGAAGAGACTGAGCCCAGAGTGGAAAAGCCTCAGATGTGTCCTGTGGGCAGTGAGTGGCTCACCTCGGCTTAGAGCACAGTCCGCTCTGAGTCTTTATGCTCTGGTAGTCCCGGGGGCCTGAAGTGGTGGGCGCCTGCCCGGTCCTAAAGGGCCTTGAGTGCAGGTCGAGATATTTATAGTGTAGTCCTTCAAAGTGGAGTCAGGTCACAAAGGTTGCAGTCAATTCACCTTTTTCACCTTTTTGTTGTCCTTTTTTCCCTGGTGGGTCCCTCTTCCCTGGTGCCTTGCATAAAGCAGGACACATGGTGGTCTTCCTTTGAGCAGGTGAACAGACGACTGGGGTGTGGTGGAGCAGACACTCCGCTGAAGGGGCATCGGGATATTCGCGGTCCGAGACCATATGATCGAAAGTCCTTGTTGATACAGCTACGCTAGTTTCTCAGTGATAACAGCGGCAGGTCAGAGGGTCTCCCAATGCATCCCGGCACTGGACAGACCTGTCATGAGAGCCAGATGTATTTGGAAGGCTTCGTTATAGCTGTCTTCTTACGTTCGATGATCCAAAACTATGCCACAGTTTTAGGGTTTATTTTTCATGGAATTAAAATTGAATGGCTCAAAATTATATGACTAATTACATTCAGTTTCAATTATAATTATTGATCCCAGCTTACTGGCATGACCCATGAAGGAAGGGGAGGAGCTGCTGGCCTCTGCAGCTGGCCTCCTGCCCACCTTTTCATGGTCCATTTACCCCAATTTACATAGTCTTTCTCCCTCCACACCTTGTTTTGTATTTGCTTCCATAAATCACCTTAGACCTATTCTTAGAATGAGATCGCAGAGTAAATAAAGATTACTCGTTCATGCATGCTATTATAGTAAATTTTTTTTTTCTCATATAAATCTCAGGCAAATAATAATATATAAATCTCAGGAAAGATAATAGTTGTTCTGCTGTTCTGAGAGCTTTTCAGACATTGTACCTGAAGTGCTGGTTTCAGTTTTAGGCACCACATTCCAAGAGAATGTAAATAAATCACAGTTCAAGTGGGAGAGTGGTCAGGCTGGAGCGAGAAAGAAAGGTCACGTCACAGGAAGACTGGAGTGTTCGGGCTGGAAGAGAGAAGGCTGGAGAGCTGCCTCTGAGGCGTTTAAAGGCTGATCTGTGGATGAATCGAAGGGCTGAGCGTGTCCCATGTGATAAAAACTTGGACCGATGGTTAGAAACTTCAAGGGGACAGATTTGGGGCTCAGGAACTGTTTACCGTTTAGTGCTGTCCGAAAATGAAGCGGGCTCCCTGAGAGGAAGTGCGTTTTAGAAGTGTACGAGCAAATTTCAAGTGACTGCTGGCCTAGAACTTGCCGACCCTTAAGTTCCCTGCTAACCCGCTGTAACTGCGATTTCTCGTGTGGACGACTGGGCAAGTGACTGTTTAGAATTTGGGGCGTGGTGTTGCCTTTCGCATTGCGAAATGTGTTCTGTCTTAGACCTGTTGAGCTTCGGAGGAAGTTGGGCTCCGCCGTGGTGAGGCCCCTGCCTTCATTGAATGTGATAAATGTGGGATTGGAGGTCAAGCGAGAGACCGGGCTTAGAAACAGTCTCAGGAGTCCCTGGCATAAAATTAATAATTTAAAACAAATGATAAATGAGTTGACGCTCTGAGGGGAGCGTTTGTTCAGAGTAGCCCAGAGTGAAAGCGGTGCCTTCATCACTGATGGAATTTTTGATTTCTTTGTTTTTAAGCTAAACCTAGAGATGAGGAAGGCTCAGCAGAATTGTTAAGGTTTTTTTATTCTTAAGATCTTGTGACACCAGGGGTTTACTGTCCCTTTCTTCCCTTATCTTCCTAATCGCCACCACCAGGGGGAAATCTGAGTCAGGGGAAAAAGTTTGGGTTTCAGGTACTTTTGCTCTGTGTCCTGAGTTCTCAGTTTTAAAAATAAATAAAAGTGTGTGGGAGACACCACATCATCACCCTGTTACTTAAGAGGAAGGAGTCCTGGTCTCATTGTGGCAGTCGGGGAACTCTCGCTCTGCTGAACTGCACTGTCGTACGTTTTGAAGGGTTCTGTATGCATAGATGACTTTAGTAATTAAAATGGTTTTTTCTAAGTGTTATTGGAAAGAGGCGGCTTTTATGAGAATATCTACTGGTATAGAAAGCTCCTCACAATTGTCTGTGATTTTCAGTTTATCTCTGTTCTGCTCACTAGTTGAAGGAGTGCTCTGAGCACCCAGAGGCGGCCACTCACATGGTAGCCAGTCAGACATGTCTCCCTCCTGAGGACAGGGCCGCAGACTTGTGCCTAAAGATGAAACAAAACTGGGAGCCAAGAGAGTTCGCTAGAACCGGTGATGTGGTAGAAATGGGTATCAGGTGTTCATTACAAAGACGATCAGTTTTCAGGGAATAAAACTCTTAAAATTGTGCCACTTAAATAGTTTAAAAAATATATGAGCAAACATTGATTTAAAAGTGTCATTGAGTATAAACATTGAGTATAAAAGTGTCATTGTGCCAGTTGCTTTAATAATGTCTCATAATTATTAAAATATTTTAATATTGACAAAGTCCAGCCACACTCATCACATTGGATTTTGTACCCCAAAACAGCTCCTGGGTGAAATTGTATCGAAAGGTTTTTGAAAGTCTCCTGCTTCTTACGCCGTGCTGAGAGGATTGTATCTGGGTAATGCAATTTGGGGTGATTGCACTTTTTGTTCTTTTCCTATAATTGTGCTTTGCTTTTTAAATAAGCACTTCAAAATTTCCATACTTTTGGGAACAGAGTTACTTATTAGTAGATTGTTACAGGGTGTATGAGTCATCATGACTTTGTGTGGCTCAAGACATGTCAGTGGATTTAAAAGATTTCTGGCCTTGCAGGTCGGGTCTATGCCGTAGTGTCAAAGAGAGAAGGTCGGGTGCTGCAAGAAGAGATGAAAGAGGGGACGGACGTGTTCATCATCAAGGCCGTGCTGCCCGTCGCCGAGAGCTTTGGCTTCGCCGACGAGATCAGGAAGAGAACGAGTGGCCTGGCCAGCCCACAGCTCGTATTCAGCCATTGGGAGGTAAAAACCCAAACCCCCACGCCTGCCTTCTCACCTATGGATGTGCTTCCTATGGCTGACACCGAGAGTAGCAAGCAAAGGTCTCTGTGCCATTTGGCCTCCTGGTGGCCCTGCTCAGCCAGAGGGACGGGGGGAAAGCACATGGTCTTTATCCATCTGGATCGAGTGAGCCTTAGAGCAAACGTGGCTTAGAATGCACACGTTCATTCTTTTTATTTGATGTAAAGGTTAAGACATAGAACATTTAATCCCTTTTCCCCCTCTAAAGATATATTGTAGATTTTTAAAAGAAAAGCACAGACATTTTTGAAAGTAAAACTTTAAGGAACTTTTCTTCTGGGGAAAAGTAGTTCTAGCATTTAGAGGGGGAACCTTATCGGTAATCAAAATGAAAACTTCACAGATACACATTGCTGGGGAGAGAAGAAAAGATGGTTTTTTTAATTTAGGGGAGAAATAATAACGGAAGGACAGGGAGGTCAGGCCAGCCTTCCTGAACAATTCGTAAAGGCAGAGAAGAAGCCAACAGCTATGGAGGAGAGAAGGGTGTTGAGTCGGAGGTGCCACGTGATGGAAGGCCAGGGAGGAGGACCGCAGGGTGTGTGCAGAGAACAATCGGTTATGTTTCAAGACAAAGCCTGAGGTCAGGAATAGAATTTTTAAACTGTAGGATGTAACTAAAAAGGTTTGGAGGAAGCAGTTTTTGTTGTCACTGTTTATAGGGAATCTAAACTTCACATCCTTCACGGTTACTGGAGGTTTGCTGGTCGGCTGAAGGAACATTGGCTTTGGTGTCAGGGAGTCCTGGTTGCGGATACCAGTTCTGCCACTTATTTGGACAGATTCTGCAACCTCCCTGAGTCTGCGTCACCCCTGAGATAAAGCATGTCGATACCTAGCCTGGTGCCGTTCCCGGTGTGCGGGTTTTCTTGCGGGCTTTCTTGGGGTCCGTGCCACGGGCATTCCGGCTCTCAGCAGTGTGGCATCGCACTGGGCTTCTCACAGGCACTCCAGGGTTTTCCCTTAAAGTCCATTCAAACAGAACTCACGGGTTAGGTTCAGTGAGCTCTTATTTATTTCACTTTCTTTAGCCAGATGGGTCCCTCTTTCTTTAGAACACTAAAATGAACTGTTTAAATTTAGATAATAAAGGGGGTGGGAGTAATTGAGAGCGAGCTTTCTTTCTAAAATGAATTTTGTAGTTAAGTGAATCGTCGTAGTAAAGAAAGGTGACACTTCAGAAAATGTGACTTTGGACAGGGCAAATTTAATTTTACTTGGGCACATTCATATCATCTAAATCAATACGAGTGAAGTTGCTAGTTAAGTCAGTCGTGTCTGCTTCGCCTTAAAAAAAGTCACATTTTTAATATTTAACGGAATCAAAATTAATGTTCTGATTTAGGTTACATTTTTTTTTTCAGTACAAACTACATTTTAACAGTGATTTACTATGTAATTTTTCTTGTGTTTTGTATCTTTGTCTAGAAACTAAACGATGTTTTGATGGTTTTATTGGCTTACACGTGAATTGATATCATTGCTGTATTTCATTATTTGGAATACAGTAGCTCCAAAATATTTAGTTGTTTGTTAATCCCCAAGCTTATGGGTAGTAATTTCCAACTTATTCAGACTTTTAGTTTTTTGGGGTTTTTTTTTTGGTTTTGATTTTAGGCATTCACCTTTCACATAAGAACATAAGCCAGTGAGAAATAGCAGGAGTGGTAGTGGCGTCACTATTGGAAGAATTATATATTTGATTTCATAAAATACCTCAGCATTTTAGTCAGTCTTATCCTTGAAAGTGATTTTATAAAGCACATTAAAAAAATCTATAAATTTAAGTTCTCGTTTCCTCGTTGGCACCCCTGTTGGTTAGGAAACAGGTAAAGCTGCTCTATCAAAGGGATCTTGAAAGAGAGTGGCTCAGATAAAGCAGAAGCTTCGCTTTGCATCTGGGCAACGGTGCAGCGCGGGTGCGGGGCTCACTGTCATGGGAGCGCGGGCTCCTCTGGACAGCTCCCTTTCTCAGTGCCCGGCTTCCACTGATGGCCTAGAGTGGCTGCTCCACCTCCCACCATCACATGTGCATTCCACCAGTAAGAACGGGGATTGGAAAGAGGAGGGCATCTGCTTTTCCTTTAAGGACACGGAATGGGTGTTCACAAGTCACTGCACCTCATGCCATTGCCCTGAACCAATCCTGTAGCCACATCCAACAAGGTCCCACCTGGCAAAGACGCCGAGAAATGTAGTCTCGTCAGAGGTCAGCAGACGGTGCCCTATTCATTACCTGCTCTGGTGAATGAAATTTAGTGGACGGTGGCCGTGCCCCTTTATTTACATGTTTCCTGTGCCGCTTTCAAGTAGAGCTGAGTAGTTGCTTCAGAGACCATTGGCCTACCATCTAAAATATTTGCTGTCTGGCTCTTTATACAAAAAGTATACCTACCCCCTCTCCCAGCTACCCCCAAGCCCAGGTGGCCTGTATGTCCACCAAGAAAAAGGAGAGAAAGGATAGTTAGGAATATCTAACTTAAAAACAGCAAGTTTTTACCAAATAGGCAATTTTTGTTATTTGAAAACCATGATGGTTTTTAAGTCTCCTTTCTCCTTCAAAATTAAAATAAAAGCTGAAAATGATTTTTATATACTTAGTAGATTTTTTTTAAGTTACTAGCTTCTGGCTTAGTTACAATTTGTTATTAAAAATCATTCTCTTAATAACTTCAGAGAAAAATGTGGTCGAGAAGAGTTTGCTCCAGTTCCGTGCCGTCCTGTCGTCTTCAGCCACCTGTCATGGTCTTGCTCCCAAAAGCTTCACGTCTCCGAACGTCTTGAAAACTATGTTATAATTAAATGTCATTGAACTGATAGTTTTTGGCTGTCTCAGTTTTTCCACCATCGTTAGGTTTAGAAATAACACAGTTGTTGAGATCTGCCTTCTCCCTCCAAGGCACTTTTTTCCATTTGTGTTCAGCCACACCATATAATTTACAATCAAGAGCTTTTGAGAGAAAGTGCTTCAAAAAAATAGAGAAAATAAAATTACAGGCATTTTCCATGAGGAAACCTTTGAAGTCAGCAATCTCATAATTTCTTTTTCTATGTTTTACCCTTCTGTGAAAAAGGAAAAAAAGGAGCTAATAACAGTCATAGAGAAACATTCCCAGCCAGTGCTGTGGCGCATGTATGTCAGCATAACCTGCAGACGCATCGTTCGCTACTGCCAGTGCCCTGAGGGTTGGCTGAAGGTCGTGCGGGGTGAGGAAGAAGTGATTACGCTGGCCCCAGAGAAGTGTTTTCAACGTGGTGTTTCCCACCTGTCGGCTATAGTCATGGTGAAAATTGGTCAAAAAAATTGAAATGGGGCTCCCAAAGCTTTTTCCTTCTAGGCTTTTTTTTTTTTTAATGCCCAGGGCAACAGCTAGCACTTGGGTGCCTTGCTTTCTGTGAATTACCGTATGGCATCTCCGTTAGGCTGCGGGGTTGCCAAGAATACGTTCTCACTGTAGGCAGATGAATTCTGAATAAGCCAGTTAGAAAAAAGCACCTTTTCTCTCACATTGATAGAAAGCTGCTCTGTGGCCTCGCTGGGCCTTTCTGTACAGCACACAACCCGAACGACTTCGGGGTGGCCTCGCGCGTGCCCCGCTGAGGAGATCCAAAGTGAGCCTGACGAGGTCGGGGGTTTACTTGTCTCCCCCATTCTGAGAGCGCGTTGGGCGTGTCGAGACAAGAGACGTCAATATGTCCACACAGATGTAGGAGCCGTGAGGTAGAAACAGCGCCTGTGGAGGCCAGAGGACCACGGGGAGGGCGGTCTGGAGCGGATCCCCAGCTGGTCTCCGGGGAGCCCCAGGGTGGTGGAGCTGAGTGTGAGGAGAGTGCCGGAGTCTCGAGAAATAGACGGAGCAAATTCCGGAGCTATATTCTGGAGGCCCAGACGAAACTGGATCTTTTTCGAAACTCTTGGGTCTCATATTTTTGAAACAAGGATTTTGGTCTTCAGTTGACCAGTCCGAGTCTGGTATCTTTCAAGTAGCACCTCATTTATTTCTCTCTCTAAAATTTGTCACCTTATTCATCAGACTTGCTAAGAAAGTGTAGCTTCTTTATATTCTACGGTGGGTTTATCATTTAGCTGGTTAAGGGATGTTGCCAGTAACCAGCTTAAAACTAGTTTCTTGTAGTACAGATAGTCTTCGAGGACAACTGCCCAGGTGAATAAATGTTCATTCCCTTTCTTCCCTCTCGGGGGAGAGAAATGTCCATGAGGCTGACGAGCACTCCCGGCTCCTCTCCTTCCTCACTGGGGTTCCCCATGAGTCTGACTGTGACTGCGTGGTGGGGAAAAAAGAGGGCCTTAGCTGCCCTGCAGCCCCCAGATTCCTGCCTGCGTCTGCCCTGGTCCTTCCCCCAGGCTCCTGCCAGCCCCTCAGCTCCTTGGTGTCAGCTCAGCAGGGCGTGGGAATGTCTGGCTCGGCAGAAGCGCCCACTGCTCCGGTGCCTTGTCATCTTTTTCTGAGGGGCCTCCAGTCTCTCCGTCTGCTTGTACAGGTGTCAAGTACTCAGGAAGAAGGGGAGAAAATGCCCATCTTAATAATAAGCTGAGCTTTCTGTAATCAAGGCAGGTATGCAGCAGTTCATTCTCAACATACACTTATCAAGCATACACTAAGGATGCCTGTCCTCCAAGAAAAACAGTCATTTGTATCTTCCTGCGGCAAAACCACAGCAAAAGCCCATGGCGGGAGCAGAGGGCGTAGGAGCTGGGGTTGGGGGAGTCCGGAGGCGGCCTCACTCCAGGTGAATGCACACACCACCTACCAGCTGGGTCACATGGGCGAGCTGAACCCCTGGGCCGCAGGTGGGCCTGCAGATGACCCTTATGTGAGGAGGGCCTCGGTCCGTCTATCCCTTCAGCAGAGTGGCAGAGGCTGGAGCAGGCCCTGTGCTTCCTGTGGGCAGCTTGTTTCCAGTGGAAGGGGAGGGAGAGGATGTCAGACTCTCGGGGGGAACCACGGTGAGGACAGAGAGGCTGGGAGTGTCCATTAGGCTCGTGGCACTTTCTCTCTCTGAAGGAAACCATCGAGGGGTGTCCCTCCCACAGCAGGATGGGGGGCAGTGTTCAGCATATGCACAATCTTCTGTCCTGTCCTAGAAGTCGGTCGCTTGGTCGTGGGCTTCAGGAAACTGTGTCCAAGTTCGACACCTCCTGGGACACCTTTACTTGGCCTGTCATCTCGGGGCTAAGCCCGTCTGCCCGGTCTGGTTTCCTTTCCCGGCTGCTTTCCCCTGCCCAAGCCCTTGCCCTTCTCCCTTCCCCACAAGAGTAGCCTCAGAGAAACGCTCCTCGGCACACCTTTTTCCACATGTGTGTCTCTTCCCATGAGAGTAAACGGGCGTGGCCCAGAGAAAAGGGGGAAGGAGGCCGCTGTTTCTGCCCCTGGTCTGGGCGTGTGGTCCACTTGGTCCTGCTCACCAGGCGCTCCACTGGATTTTGGAGCAAAAGCTCAGAGTAATCAAGAACGGACCTAACGTGTTAGTCTTCGCTGGGGACAAAGGCAAAATTAATGGAAAGACACCAAACCCAGATGTAGCCTGCTGAGAAGGAGCTTTTGTATTATCCAAAGTTAGCAGTTCTCTTTGTTCCTTGGTGGTGGGTGATGGCTCTGTGAGGCAAAGAATAACAGGTGTTGCAGGTTGTGTTGGGGCGGCTCCCATTTGTCCCCACCTCCTGTCTTCATCCTGTGGGTTTATCGCTATTTCTCTAAGCGTAGCTTCTCACTGCTTAACTTTTATTCCTTACCTAAGACCACATGAGTTGGCGTTTAAATGAAAATACATTTGCCTGATGTCGCACATTCTGTCACCTTCTCTTACAAGATCATTCCCAGCGACCCCTTCTGGGTGCCAACCACTGAGGAAGAATACCTGCACTTCGGGGAAAAGGCCGATTCTGAGAACCAGGCCCGGAAGTACATGAACGCGGTGCGAAAGCGGAAAGGTCTCTACGTGGAGGAAAAGATCGTGGAGCACGCAGAAAAGCAGAGAACCCTCAGCAAAAATAAGTAACTACTCTTGGCAGATTCTTTTCTTTCTAATAAATTAAGAAGGATCCCCCAGGGTTCGATCCTGGAAGACTTCTTTATGCTGCATTATCTGTGTGCGTTTACTTTCAATAAAGTCAAGCCATGCAAGCACTTGAAAAGGGACTTTGGAGAACACGGTTCCTAAGCAGCTTTTAATTGGTTCTGGCGCAACGCAGAGAGTTATTAAGTACCGCAGCGGTGACTCACCACCTGCCACCCTGTGCGTAACCCCAGCAGTGAGGTGTGTGCCGTGGAGGGGGCACCTGTGCAGCTCAGGGGTGGGGTGCGACGTGCAGACCCCACAGTGGGGAGCAGCCGCACCTCTGCCTGTCATCACAGTGTCACCCTTCTGCGGTTGTCCTCCACTTAGACGCGGTTCGTAGTTAATCACTGAATCACAGCATTCCACATTGTTTGGAGACACCACATGCTTGAGACCAGCCACCTTCCAGTTAGTTCAGCCAAGTCACTCTCAGTAGCTGATTCATCTTACGGTTTCTTTGTCAAGCGAATCGACGTAATGCTCACTTGTTGGCCTTTAAACCTTCTGTGTTTACACTCATGAATCACATCACTCGTGTTTGAATAAGTGTCAATGGAAGTTATGCGCAATATGTTTAGCTTTAAAAAAAATTTTTTTTTTCCAAGTTTCTTTGCTATTTCCTCTTAGCCTTCCTCACTCAAGGGATGTTCTCTAATGTGATGAGGTTATTGCCTATATTGTACATTTTTTTCTGAAACCTCAGTTGCCTCATTCAGGGAGAGCCCCACATGAGGAACATATGCAATTTAGTCAAAAATAGATTTCGTAAGTTTTGATGTTACGCTAATCATTTTTATAGCCATTAAAAAAAGGGATTTTTTTTTTCAAAACTCATAAAATTATCATACCAGACCTTGTTTTTAATGGTTTTTTGTTGTTGTTTTTTTCCCCCAATAAACTAGGTCATTCTTAATATTAGTTGTGTTTTATCTTTAATCTTTAGAGTCCTGGGTAACTGGTCAAATCTAATTGACCCAGACTCTAGGAAAAGTGTGGCTAGATAACTCACTCTGTATAAGTCTAAATTAATTTTGACGTCTGAATTAGGAGAGTATTGGTACCACGTATTGCTTTATCCAAAAGCTTTGATAACATAGGAAAAGCTAGCACATCGATTTATCGCTTTTTGTAAATAACGTCATTCAAACTGCCAGATGTGCTATAAAAAGTATTCTTAGACTCTACGCTTTGTGGAGAAAAGAGGCAGAGCCCAGAAAGAGTTGGAGCTCTTTTTACAGTTCTGTTGGGCCCTGCCAGATGTGCTTGTGTGGGAGGAGTGACATGTCAAGTTGATAGATGCCTCTCTTCCTTCTCCATGTTTAGGAGAGACAATAATGAGCAGTAAAATGACCACGAGGAGGCAGGCCAAGGGATATAGCTAATCTGCCATGTGAGTAACCTACCCTGTCGTGTAATTTGTGATGGGACCCCAGTCACTGAACCCATCCGTGTGTGACAGCCTAGGAAAACCGTCTTCCCTCTGTCCCAGTGCCATGCCCTGACCATAGCCTGAGTGTCGAGTTCAGTGGAAGTGAGCGCAGAAATGCTCAGTCCCAGCGTGGGATGCGAGGCTTTCTGTTCTTACGTGGGGGTGGCTTCTTACAGTCACTGATAGGCAGGCCTCGGGCAGCGAGGAAGCCACAAAACCAGGACCCCCTCCTGGAGGACTCATTGCATGGAAGGCCAGAGGCAGCTGTCCTCCGGGACAGGCATAGGCAACAACAACACAATTCCTTTTCCCGGCCAGCATGGAGCACGGGTGGGGCAGGGGGCTGTTGCCTGGGTCAGAGTGTCCACAGACCTGAGGAGAGATACACTGTTCCTATGATGACCCTCTTATGACTATGTGTGATACGCAGAGGTAGGTGCATAGGTAGGTGGGTGGGTGGGTAGGTGGTACACAGAGGAAGAGAGACAGGGATGGAGAGGGAGAGAATTGTTTGATTCTCACACATGTGGTGTGAAATGGGGATGAGGAAATCCAAGTTCACAGCCCAGGTCCCGTTTCCCGTTCAGTCATACCCCTTTGGTTAGTCCTGCTAACCAAATCCCGAGTGCACGCGGGATTTCAGACGTTGCCGCCTGGCTTGTGTTAGGGTCAGAGAAGTCATCAGAAGCTGAATCTTCACTCTGCAGAGGCGAGGACTTGGGCGTCGTCATGTTTATGATGTTTACGTTCTGAGCCTCAGACTTAGGTATGCTCCCACTGTCCAAGACCGAAAATCATTATACTGGCTCAGATTTATGGCTGGTGACTTTAGGAAAGTAATTGATTTCAGAAATTAGGTTGACCTGTGCACCTGGAACTGAGACTAGGGAACTGGGTTTGACCACTCTCTTCTCTCCTGTCTCATGACCAAATAAGGCTCGAGAGCCCTTCAGGTGAATGGGGTATTAACTCAGAATTAGGAGGGTTCCATTGTGAAGCAGTTAAACTAATCTTTCGTTTTAAGGCAAAGAACATTTTAAAAAGTCCGATTCTAAAAACAGAAGATTATGAATGTGAACCCAAACACACGCAGGGGACGCGGGAGGGCTGAGGGTTTCCTGCGATCCTGGGCCTCCAGGTGTGGACCCTGTGGCCCAGGGAGCATCTTCCAGGGACTTAGGAATGGGGAGTAGGACGCGCTCTAACCCTGGGGCGTATCTGCCCTGCGGGTCTCAAGCACAGCTGTGGGCAGCAGACTTTAAGGAGGCAGTGTGGCTCCTTCAGAAGTCTTACAGGAGGGTGTGAGGGGCAGAGCAGCAGTAGGGGCTCCCTGGAGGGCCGAAATGAGGGGGCCAGGGCCTCCCGACTGGAACACTGCTGGCCCAGAGCTGGCAGGCCAAAGACTTGAGCAATGGAGATGAGTTACTTCCAACCCACTGTTGCCTTGCTCTGGACCTTCCTGAGAAATTCCCCGAGGGCCAGCAATTGTTCTCCACCCCACAGGCCCCTCCCCTGCTCACCTGGGCCTCCCAGGGCTGGAGCGTTGTAGTCAGGGTTGACTTTGTCAGCCTGGGGATATGCATATTTCTGCCAGGGCTTTGGATTTGGCTAAAGTGATTTCGTCTGACTTGGGTTCGTGGCAAAAGGCGTAACAGCTCTAATTCTGCTGTCCCAGATTTCGTCATTTCTCTGAAGGAAGCAGCTTTAAGCCCAATTTTAAAGCCCTTTTTACACAGCCACATCCACCAAACACAGCTGTCCCTGCACAGACCTGCGCGCCCTCACTGCTGGAGCCCAGGCTCACTCAGCCAGCCCTCCGCCTGCTCTGATTGCTCAGGCCGGTGGGCCGTCTCTGCCCCGTCTCAAGGAGCAGAACAGTCGGTGCCGAGGTGGCAAGGGCCGGTGCTGCTCCCCGGGGACAGCGCCTGCAGCCCGGCGCCCAGTGCAATCAGGCGCAGCAGGAGGAACTCGATGAGCACCCGTGGCTCCAGCTCTGGCCAGTAGCTCACAGCGGCAGCCACAGGGACAGGGAGGGCCCAGAGCCCTGTAGGAAAGTGGCAGTGGACCCCTAAGCCGTAGGAGAAAGCTGCACGGGGGCTGAGCTGACCCTCCCTGATGAGACACTGGGAGACCACGTGTCAACCAGAGACCTGGTCTAGAGGATCCTCCACTGCAGTCACCACCCCACCCCCTGAGCCGAACGGTTCCCCCTGCAGGGTGCCTGCTGCCGTAAAGAAGAGAAGCTATAGGCAGAGGAGACAGGACCAGGGCACTGCCCTAGAGCAGCCTGCGACTGAAGCACGTCGTACCGAGGCCATTGGCAAAGGACCCGAGAGGCAGGTAGGGATGTTTTGATATTTCGGGTCTGCGGCGATGGTTACCAGTTGGAGCCCAGCGCTGGGCCCTTAAATCTATGCCGGTTGTGAGTGCGTCCTCCTGCCCGGGACCCTTTGGGAAAGAGCGCCCTGCCTCTCTTCTGGAAAACCACCCCATCTCCACTCAGTCCGTGAGGTTTGAGCGGGTTCGACCATCCCACACCTGCGTGTGATCCAGGCCGGGACAGTCAGTGTGTCAAGTCCTTCTGCCTCCTTGGAACGGATGTGTGACCCAAGAGGGTCCACTGAGAGCCAGCTGCCGGGCTTTCGATGAAAGGGCAGTGTCTTTGATTAGGGTGGCTCTGCTGGTAAAGCATAAACCTGGGGCTGCTGTGCCACCCTCGTCTCCACACGGCTCCACCTGCCAGAGAATCGAGCTAGTGCGCGAGTGCAGAGCTGGCAGGCGAGGAGACCCATTTCTGAAGTTTTGAGCATCTGAATTCTGTTCCTTAAACCAGAGCTAGCCCTGACTTGTCAGTTACATGACACAGTACATCCCCTCCTTTTTTGTTGTTGAAGTCAGTTTGAGTTTAAAGTACAAGCGACGAAGAGTCCTGACATCATCTTGCATCGTGCCACTTCCTGCCCCGAAATGTCCCCATCGTCCCCACACCCGTCCCACATCTTTTCCATCTTAAAGCCAGTGTCTAGTGCCATTTCTATTAGAACGTTGCCTTCCTCGTTGCTAGACAAATGAGCTTATGTTTTTTGAGGCCTATGACGGTGTGTGTCTTTCATGGCGCCAGGATGCTCTGGTAAGTGTGCCAGTGGTCCATGCGCAGATCCTGCCCCATTTACTTCCCCGAAAGCTGCTCTAGGGTAACGATTGTTTATGCCCTGTGTGCCCGCACGTGTAGATGCCCAGTAATCCTGGTGCAAATGCAGGGAATAGGCTGAGAGTATACATTCTGTCAGGTAGAGAGCCATGTTGAGGACACAGGTGTCCTGGCTGTCATTCCAGGGCTTCTGGAATGCCATACTCCTTCGTGCGAGAGAAGTCTTTGTGGAATGAACACGTGTTAGAGCAGTGGTTCTCAGAGTGCGGTCCCCAGACCAGCAGCATCCGCATCACCTGGAAGCTTGTGGGAAACGCGAATTCTCTACCCCACTCAGATCTCCTGAGTCAGACTGGGCTCGGCCCCGCAAGCTGTCTCAGCAAGCCGTCCGCGTGATGCTAATGCACATTCAAGTGTGAGAACCACTCGTAGAGATTTTGGTTGACATTTATTTATAATTATAGTTTTTATGTCTTGAAATTTTTATCAATGGCTT